GTCGCAGGTGACTTGATGGCACATAACACATTACATATTTTTATTGACTTGCATCAGTCATTCATATTTATTGAGTTTCATGTATGCACATTCTGTTCTATACAGTATTTCCCTTACATTGTATTTAATTCCTGTATATTGTGGGTTATTTCCCCCCTTAGAATCATCTTACTGATAAGTACATTTGTGAAAGCATGTAAGCCAGCTATTTTATGTCTCGTTCCTTAATATCTCCGTTTTAGATAGCCCATTTCTCATTTGCCCATCCCTATCAAGCCAAGACTTTGAAGGCAAGCTAGCATCTCTATTTCTTATGATATTTTGTACAAGGTTCTTTTGTATCTCACTGTCTGTTTGGCCCTGAAGTGCACTTGATCTATCATGATTATTCTTTAGACTTGTCAATGATACAGCCTGGCGCAATGAAGTTACTGACTTGGAACTTCTCTGGCTCATAGCTAACCCTCCATTGGGTTTCTGAGGCTGTAAATTGCCAGGAAGGAGACTACCCATCTTTCTTCCATGGATTCACTGGTGGATTTGAACTGTCAGAGAGGCAAGGCCTTTGAGTTAGCATTGCAACACTCGACGGACTTGGGACTTCACTGTGCTTGAGAATTGTCTCAGGTTAGGAGATTCTTCTACCCGCCAATTCCTGCTCCACCTTTAGAGATTCGTTATTTTTTTTAAAAATTAAAGTGGTTTATTTACAAAATTCAAATACATCGTTTTCCAGAACAGATTTATTCAATTTCCAATCTAAAGCAGGAATCTCATCCTCTGCATTTTAAACATCCATCTCCCCTTTCTTCATTCTGGAAGCCCTGAGAAATTCTGGCCTGGACTCTGCTTGATGTGTAGTTGTAGCCTCTTCTGGCCTACTTGAAAAACAGGGAGCCTCTGCATTCCTTTTGTTCTATTTATCATATACTAAAATCTTGTCACCATTACCCACATCATGTAAGCATAATGTCTCATGGAAAATCGTTTAAGCATAGGATCTCAATACCTTCTAGAAACCAAAGAACTATGAAAACCATCACCAATTTTGGCTAAGTTTCTCTTTCAAAACTTGGTAAAATCCTTTAGGAATTGTTTTTGCTTGTTTCTGTGTGCCACTGAGTCAGAACCATGCGTGGCTGACCTTTCAGAGGGTTTTAGAGGTAGTAGGTCTCACAGGAGGAGACTGGCCCTCTTTCTCCTGTGAAGCAGCTGGTGGATTTGAACGATGTGCCTTTGGTTTGGCAGCACTTCCCACTAGGCCACCAGAGCTCTCACCTTTAGGAGGAGAACTTGAAAAAACCCACCACTATTTCTTGATACTGTGCTATATTTTTGTTTTAGTCACAATCCACATGGAAAAGTTTCCTTCCTTTACACAGACATTTTAGAGGTGATTCTATGCCCATCCTTGTATCCTCAGGGAGCAGTGGGGCAGTGGATGTTCTTAGCTTGTAACTAACTACTGCTATTCTCTCAGTTGTGCATAGAGACTGTTGTTAGGTGCCGTCGAGCCAGCTTCAGTTTATTGTGACTTGATGCACAACAGAACAGAACCCGGCCTGGTCCTATGCTAAGGCTAATCCAGTTATGCTTGGGAAATAATAAGCTTAATTTCATTTTATATTTTTATAATCTAAATGACTAGATGCCTATGTTGTCAGGGAAGTTGGCAGATTAATGACATGGGATTAATGATTAGGAAGCCGGTACAGAGCATAACCTGAGAGATTAGTGGAGTAGTCATGGTTAGCTGCTGTCTAGTTGAACAGGACTCATAGTACGCTATAAGCGACAGATCCGGACCCTTATAATCTCAGCTGTGTTTGCTTAAGCTCATTCTCTGGGACCAGTGACAGTTCATTTCATTGAGGGTCTTCCTCGCATTCAGTGACCCACCTCTTTTCTAAGAGTGATGTCCTTTTTCAGGGGTGAACCCCTCTGACAATGTCCTCAAAGTCTGTGAATTGAAATCTCACCATCCCCACTCTCTAACAAGCACTCTGTCAGCACTGCTTCCAGATTTGTTGTTTTGTTTTACCATCTGTGATACATTTAACATTCTTTGCAAATATCACAATACAAAGTCACCAGTTCTTCTTTGTGTTTGTTTGTTTTTTAATTCATTGTTTATCTTTCACATGTGTTTGGAGCAATTGAAATTACCATGGCTTAGGTTGTATGCAACCCACTCTTTAAATGGGCATCCCTGATGCTTAGACCTCCAGTGAGGTCCTTGGCCGCAGATTTGCCCAGTGCACTGTTTTGTTTTATTTCATGACTGTGTTTCCTTGAGTTTCGGTTGTAGGACTAAGAAAAATGAAATCTTTGACATCTCAATCTTTTCTTCATTTATCATGATGTTGCCCATTGGTCCAGATAGGAATATTTTTTTTTACTTTATATTTATTCCTTCTGAAGGCTAGAGTCTTTGATCTTCAGTAAGTGCTTCAAGTCCTTGTTACTTTCAGCAAGCAAGATTGTGCCATCTACATAATATAGATAATTTATCAGTCTTCCATCAGCTGAGATCCATGCATACACTCTCTGTTGATATTTAATAGTATGATTAATTCATCTTCAACAAATATCTACAATGAGCCTAGAACTACTATTGTCCCTAAAACTGAGAATTAATAGAAAGAATCATCCATGAGAGTTTTCGTTTTCCTTTTTAGGTCACTTGGAATAAAACTCTTTTGCTTAGTCTAAGAGTTAGGAGTAGTTGTTTTTACAATTGTACACAGCTGATTTAAAAAAATACATATTTATTAAATTGGCTTACAAAGTAGGAAATATAATAATGCTTATTTTCACTGTGGTGTGATTGGTTGAAACTATTTATTATGATTCATTCTGGTTCTATGGTACATAGCAAGTCATTTAAAAAGACAACAACGATTTATATATTTGTATTCATATAGTTCTGATGTATATATTTATATAGTTCTGATCTTGGCTTACATTTGCAAATAAGTGAGTTTCCGCCTTTTATCTGTCAGCCTTCATCCTTCCCAGCATCATGTCCCTCTCAAAGGAATAGCCTTTCCTAGCAACATGTCCAAACTATGTGAGGCAAAGCCTCATCATTCTTTCCTCCAAAGAGTACTCCGGCTGCACCATCTCCAGTATGTATTTGTTTGTTCTCTTGGCCGTTCATGGGATGTTCAGTGCTCTTCTCCAACACCACAACTCAAAGGTATTAATTCATTTCCCATAATCCTTATTCACTGTCCAGCTCTCAGATGTATAGTAAATAATCAGAAAGATCATGGCCTGAATCAGAAGCACCTTAGTCCTCAATCTGACATCAATACTCCTCAAGAATTTGGAAGGAATTGTGGAGGGTTGGTGAAGAAGAGGAAGACCCTCAGCCAGGTGGATTGATGAGGTGACTGCTGCAATGGGCTCTTGTGTGTCAGGAAGTGTGAGGATGGCACAGGATAGAACAGGGTTCAGATCTTTTGTTCCTAGGATCTCTATGAGTTGAGCTCGACTCAGTGGCACCTAACAACAACAGTATCTGCCAGCCTTAACGCACCCCTGTCGCATCAGCAAGATGAGCTGTCATTAAGCAGGATAGAAATCTGTTTTCTTACACTTGCGAGGCGCAATATGCCAACAATTTGGGAAATAATTGAAGTAGAAAACCAAAAAAAGTGAGTGTTAGTTAAGACCCATGTCCGTGTTCCAAATCTGTAGAGTTGAAAGGCCTCTCAGATTGTTTCCATTCTTCTTTATTTCACCTGCATGTCAGATGACCTCACAGGACACGTCTTACCATATCACTACTGTGAAATGAAATGACCAGTGATACTCTCCTGGGAGCCTTGGCATGTAGTTTTTCTTGCACAGATCTTGGCTGTGGTGCTCAATCTTATTTGAGGCATGAGAATGCGCGCGCGCGCGCGTGTGTGTGTGTGTGTGTGTGTGTGCGCGCGCGCGCACGTGTGCTTACATACACATATATTCTTGCCTGTGGGCAGCAGGGAAATCCGTTTGATCACAATTTGTTGGGGAGGCAGTAAAGGGCTTCTACTGAATACTAATTACCAGGGAGTTGTTGGGGGAGCCTGGGTAAGAAGCCAGATGGTTTGTGGTAAATTAGTCACCAGCTCTATTGAGGTGGGCAGAAAGTTTAGATCAGAGCTACAGAGGCGCCCGAATCTTTAAAGACTGTTGGCTAAACTTGGTAACACATTAAGGGAAAAAAATGCCTTCTTTGTGCTAAATAGTACTGGACTGCTTCATGAATCTAATGAGAGGTGTGCAATTTTGTATAAAAGTTAAAGCTCCCACCATTCGTGGGTTTTAAAAGATGGGGAGACTGGATTGTTAAATCAATTATCGGGGCTGTTTTGGCTCTTGGATCTGAAAAACTGCCCAAACTGCCAGAGGTATGAAAGAATAGATTGCTCCGGACAGAGCCCTGCCCTGAGGATGATGGCCTTTATTTGCCTGTGGATCACACTTTCTGGCTGTCCACACACATAAACCTCAACCTTTATCTCAGACTGCACAGGGTGGCTTTTCTGGGAAATGATCCTCTAGTTCCAGAGCAAAACAAGCGCTGCATTTGGAGCCTTTTCTCGAATCCCAGGCAGCTTTCTTTCCGTTCACAGCTACTTTCCTCCTTCATTTCTATTTCCAGCAACTTGGAGAGGGGAGTTAATGATTCATTTGCTCCCAATGACCTTTTGAATAACTGGACTGCGATGGATCAGCCCAACGCCTAGCTCCCTCTCCCTCTCTCTCTCCCTCCTCTATTTCCCTAGTTTGGCTTTAATATTTACAGCCTCCTTCTCGTCTACATGCCTGAACGCCTGAAGGAAGCAAAACATTTATTGCCTCTCTCTCTCTCTCCCCGGTGTTCACAAGCTGTCTCATCTAGCTCATTCCTTCCTTGTACATCACACGGGGGAGACTCCTCCTGGCTGGGACACCGGAGTTCTTCCCGAGTCGCTGCTGATTAATCTGTTTGATTCCACCAAAACACAAAGATGGATTCTGACTCTGACTCACCTTTTAACTACTCCTGGCCTTCCTTCCCCAGAATGAAGATTCGACGAAGGGCATCGAAACAAGGTATATCACCATATCTTTTATTTCCCCCAGAGAAAACAGACCAGACATTTTCATATTCTTACCTTTCTTTTCCTTGTTGCTTTGCCAGACTGTTTTCTGATGAAGTGCGTGCTAATACATGTCTTTGTAAAACTCTCTCTATACAATTCTTTTACATATAGGCTTCTGAGATAAACCTACTTATTTGTCTGTTTTTCCTTTCGGTTTGAACTTACTTAACTTTGTTTTATATTATGCATGTGCACTTTTCTTTAAAGATGGAGGTGGAGGACAAGGTACATGTTTTGGGTTCACTTAATCAGGGTTACCTTGGAGTTACCTTGGCAATAAAGAGTCTTGTTGATTTAAACACATCCAGTACTTGTGGGATTTACAGAGCTCTACGCATGCATTCAGTTTCTACTTTCTGCTGCTTTTGTGTTTTCCTTTTCAAGTATGGTGTAATTTTCCCTGCAATGTTTTGCATCCACAAAAATGATTCTTTTTTGGTTTACACTAGTTGACATGTAGATTTTTTTTTTGAAGAACAGATTTTGAAAGATCCTTTCAACAAGAAAGTCTGCATAACCCCAAGGGATGCAATCATAGAAAAGTTAATCAGCAGTAATTACCACAAAAGCCAACCCCTTCGTTACCAAAGAAAAAACAGTTTGGCCATGGCATAGTTAATAATGGAGTGCATTTACCTTGTTTATCCCCTCTGTGCACACTTTGGTCTTGGTACAGTGCAGACTTAGGAAACCAAGGGACAAGTTAGTCTTTGGGATGCAGCTGAGGTACCCCAGGTAACATGGCTGCACCATCCAGAGTGAAATGTAGCAGGTGGCAACTGTTACGTTCTCAGGTTTTAACGAGAGAAGTAGTGAGTAGCTCTTTCTTGTGTAAGGATGTCTGATCTTAATGAAAGGAGACTAGGAATATTTTTATGACTTTACAAGTGGAAGAGGTGACTCTGAACACAGGTTTCCTCTGCAGCACAGAGTTTTGGGAGAGCGCCTACAGTATACAGCTGGATCTCATTCCTGCAGGGCCAGCCTGTGCTTTCACAGATGGGAACGGATTCTGGAAGTTGTCAGCCTTGATAGTGATGTCCACGGTTTTTATCCTTCCTTATAAAAGAAAATAGAGGTGTGTGCTTGTTTATTCTCTGTCTGGGACCATCGCCAATCTCATGAATAAGAGGAGCTGACCATCCTGAATAGACCTCTCATACTGCTTGGATACTGTTCTTGAAATCTTATTTTAAAGAATTTTTTTAAAAAATATATTCAACATACTATTTTTCTACTATTCTTTTAATTTTTATTATTCATTTCAATGAACATTTACAGAGATTTTGGATTTCCATTCGTTCACTGTTGCACTTTTCTCCCCCTCATCCCCAGTTCGCTCTTTGAAAAGTAAAAAAAAAAAATTGCTTCATTTGTATACAATCCCTGCCCCCCCACCCCGAATATATTCCAGTATGCAACCTTCATTCCGGACTCTTATGATAATCATAATGCCCTATAATATATTGCTTTTAAAGTGTTCTCTTGCTCATCCATTTCAATGCAGTATACATAATTCATCCAGTTTTTCTCATTCTTACCCCAACCTTGATGTCAGTCCCATTCTACAGCTGTGTCACTATGCAGTGTTTGTCCTTTTGTGACTGAGATATTTCACTCAGCATAATGTTCTCCAAGGTCACCCATTTTGAATAATATTGCATGAATTCCTTGTTTTTCACTTCAGTATAGTACTCCATTGTGTGAATATACCACAGCTTCTTTATCCATTCATTTGTTGATGGGCACTTAGGTTGTTTCCAACTCCTTGCTATTGTGAACAAAGCTATTCTGATTTAAAATAGAAATAATTCCTATCTGAGGATAAAGAACAGTAGTGGCAAGAAGCTGTGCTGCAATCCCTAAGGCACACAGTTTGAGCCCACTGGCTGTTCATAGAAGAAGGAGGGGTAATCTCCTCTCCTGCAATTAACTGCCTCTGAAAACCCATTAGAGGGTTAGCTATGGCTCAGTTTCAACTCGACAGTACACAACAACACAATGATATATATACATTATATACTGTGGAGTTGGAACCATAACAGCTGACTCTCTGGTGGGATTTCAGTGGCAGTGCATTGCACAGAAGGAGATTGCCCATATTTCTCCTGCAGAACAGAGGGTGGTTTCAAATCACATGCTTTTGAGTTGGCAGCAAGCTTCTTACCAATAGGCCACCAGAGCTCCATCTTACTTACCATTGAGTGGTTCTGAGGATAATGAAAATTCTATCATCTATCTATCTATCTATCTATCTATCTATCTATCTATCTATCATCTATCTATCTATCTATCTATCATCTATCTATCTATCTATCATCTATCTATCTATCTAATTATCTATTATCTATCTATCATCTATCTATCTAATTATCTATTATCTATCTATCTATCATCATCTTGCCCCTGGATCATGTACCAGTGAGTGGTTCAGAGACAAATAAAAATATGCATTAGCACAAGCAACTACACATGCAAGCAAGCTAGTGTGCAAATACATGAAGGGGTAATATAATAATAGTAGGAAAATTTGAGTAAAGTGGATATAGATGTCCTTTGTGTTATTCTTATCCTTTTACGTTTCCATACAGTTTAATATTTCAAACCAAAGCAGTTGAAAGACTGTTAACCCAGAGATTAACCCCCGTGTGAGGTACAAGGGACCTGGGCTACGTCGCTGATACTTTCTAGTACATGTTATTGATTCTGGTACATTGAGGACATCTTGAGAATGTCAAATAAAAATGTTCTTTAAGACATGGGAACCATTGTGCTAAGGTTAATGCAGTTATGTTTTGGGAATAAGGAGCTTAATATAGTTTTGTATGTATATAATCTGAATGACAAGATGCCTATGTTGTCAGGGACTTTGGCAGATTATTGAGCAGCAGATATGGGATTAGTGATTAGGAAGCTAGTGGAGAATATAACCTGAGAGGTTAGTGGAGTAGTTGTGGTTAGGTGCCGTCTAAGTGAACAGGACTCATGGTGCCCTACGAGCAACAAACCTGAACCCTGTTTTAAGCTGTGTGATCCTCACCATGTCTGACACACTTAAGCCCATTCCTGCAGTCACTCTGTCAATACACCTGGTTGAGTGGGGTGGTAGGGAATGCATTTATCTTGTTCTTATTTTATATGTAAAGTTGAAGCATGGCTGGTTTCAGCTACATAAAAAGGTTATAAGAGTTTACTTAAACTCAATTAAAGTGAAATGCCACTATCTGGGATATGGAAGCAATGGACTACTTGCTGTTAAAAAGGAGAAGACGAGTGAAAATTAGGTTGGCACAAGAGAACTAAGGATTGTCAAGTTGTGTTTCTTTCTTCACTAAATGGTGGTGCCATCTTTGAGAAGAGCAAGTTTAGTCATGCTTTAAGGTCAGCCAGATGGAGTGTCAGAACCATAGTGCCTCAGAGCTTAATGTGATTTGATCCAGTTTCCTCATGCTCATGCTCTATTGGAGAAATCTCCTTTCCTGTGATTTACAGCCTCCTGAACCTGTTAGAGGGTCAGCTGTGAATCAGTTCAACTTGATGGCAATGAAAGAAGCTACCTTATTTACAGATTGGGATGGCAGGGGGCCCATCATGTGTCCCACAGGCATTTCTGAGTGTCAGGCAGTGTTCTAGAGGAGGAGGCATGTAATGAGCCTCGTGGGTGTGATCCTTATTACAGGGGTCAGAGCACTGGAAATGAGCCCCGTTATCTCCCATGACCTGGACATGCCATCTTCACATAGCATTAGAGGACCAGAGGCACCTTCTTTTTGAGCCTAATGGTTTCATTGTGAAGAAATAGTATCTGATTCCTTAAATATGTTAAAAGTAGTTTTTAATAAGTCAGTTAGTCAGTGCATAAAACAAAGACAGTGTGAATTTATTGTTCATGCTGTTTCCATTCTAATCACCATCAACATTTCTATCATCTCGGCTCTTTCTGAGAGAGTAGGTTCCGACAACCTGGAAACTTACAAAGGTGCTTTTGAGGGGTTGGAAGCTCTGAGTTATTAGCAACCTCTGCTTTATTTCATCAGAAATATACTTTTTATGTCCTCTACTATTTAATTCCATGTCCGGACACTCCTTTTTAGAGTCTCCTTTCTTATTAATAATATCCTATCCTGTGCTTGATATCACCATTCTTTGATAGCAGCACACAAACTAACACTCTACCGGTTTTACTGGTTTGTTTAGAGAGTGATGAAAAAATATAAAGAGAAGGCTTAGTAATTAAAAAAATTGATTATAAGAGGAAAAATAAGTTAGTAGGAATCCATTATTACATATTTAATAAGGAATCTGTGTAGTTCTTTCTTATTCACATGCCTTTGGAACGGAAGAGAAAATGTGTCTGCGAAGCAATGCCCTTTGAAATGATCATAGTCTAGATTTGAGCGTGATGTGAGTAAAACAGTAAAAACCAAACTGCCCACACTGTATTCCTGGGGTTCTCTTGCACAGGCTGCCCGGGCACTGTATTCTTCAGGTTCTCTTTCACAGGCTGTGCCCACACTGTATTCCTGGGGTTCTCTTTCACAGGGGCTACCCTGGCATTGTATTATTCGGGTTCTCTTTCACAGGCTGTGCCCACACTGTATTCCTGGGGTTTTCTCTCACAGGCTGCTCCAGGACACACTGTACTGGTGGCCTAGTGGTTAATGATCGGAGTGGGCCAGAATCCACGACCGTTCTGCTTCAAGGGCTGCAGGAATGCCTGGATTTTTGTTTTGTTGGTTTCAGTAGATTCAACCAAGAAATGTATTGTTTATTAAGCAAAGATTAAAAAGAAATTACAGGGGTTGGTCTTTTCTAAGGTTTTTGTAATTATTAAAACTTTTTAAAAAAAGTGTATTTTAAATCATTAGACCCCTGGAAGTATTCAAGGATTCTTTTTCTTTTCTTTGTGCATTTCACCCATTTTTGCAAATTCTCTTCATTTTTTTCTAT